AAAAAAAAACTTTTTACTATAATACACAGTGCTTTAGAAAAGTAAAGTGTTGTCTCTTTTTTATCTATAAGTGATGTTCTTCGTATATCTTTCCTTATATCATTTGCGTCTTATTTCAAAATATTTTCCAAATATTGAATCTATAGAATCAATTTATGTGGTTATGCATCACATTTTACAAAATACTCGTGAATACATAACCTCAACGAAGTCGTTTTTGGATTGTTTTTGTGAAAATAGCTTGTTTAAACATAAAGTTAAGTATAAAAAATTATAATTATAATATAAAATATCAAAAAGAAACATCTTTTTTACAACATAAAAAGCGATTGGTTTCATTTCAACTTTAACAACACTCCAGGTTATTTTTGTAAGTATCAAAACTCAATAAATAAATAAATATTAATGATTACATGTCATGTTTCATGACCGTACAATTATTTTTTTAATAAAATATGGTTCAGATTATAGTTAGAAAAGGAATAAGAAAATCAATATTTAAAGGGCGAGCAACTACACGATATTGATTGAGCATATTTGGTTGCCTACATAGGTTAAAAATATTAAAAAATGTTATCTCCTTTGGTTGAAGTTTTAAACAATATGAGAGTTATATTGGCGACGAGTTCGAAACAACGTATCGATATCTTTAAGAAAACTGTAATAACTTTAGAATATGTTAACAGAAAATGTTATAAATCAACTTTGTTATAGCCAATTAAATTTGAAATAAAAACGTCCGATTTTGAAGAAAATTTGGATAGAAATAAATACACTTTTTCGGAATACGTAGAATTAACAGCTTTGGGAAAAGTACAAAAAGTTTACGAACAATTAAAAAATGATGATAAACCACCAGATTTAATAATCGGATTAGACACTATGATATGTTGTGATAATTATTTCTTTGGAAAACCGAAAGACAAAGATGATGCCATTCAAATTATCAGGAGATTATCCTCAGGATCTCCCCATACTTGCTTAACTGGTGTTGCTATCTTTTATAAAGGAAGATATACAAAATTTTGTGAAAGCACAACCATTTTTATGGAATCGTTAACCGACGCTGAAATATTATCTTATGTGGAATCTGGAGAGTCCATGTATTTTTTATATTAATGTTGAGATGAGAAATATATTTTTTTTTATTGTAGGGGAAAAGCTGGAGCTTATGCAATTCAAGGACTTGCTGGTTCTTTTGTAAAGAAAATCGATGGGGATTATAATAATGTTGTTGGAGCTCCATTATGTCGAATCACACAAGAACTTAAAAAAATTCTTTTAAATAATGAATGACTTAAATGAAATTTTAAAATTAATATAGTTAAATAAAACTTTAAAATTGTTATTGGCCCACTTTTTGTATCTACTATATTTAAGTAACTTTCTAGTTTTAGGTTTAGTGTTCGTTCTAATTTTAGTTGTTATTGAGTGCTACTAAAGAACTATTATTGTATGGTCATCAATTCTGGCGGGAGCCACTTGGCCAATATCATTTTCACAACTTAATGAAAACAAATTTAACACATCAAACAAACATAATCCAAAAGCAGAACTAAAGTTTTTCATTAAAAAAAAATTACAACCTAAGAACATGGAGTGACAACTTTTGCGCCACCCTGTAGATACTATATGGGCAAAAATCGTACAACAAGCTGAAGCAAACTTGTCAAGCTAGGAATTTTGTACCCATTCATGGAACATTGTTTTGCATCTACCAGGGCCAAAAATAAGAATACAAAATCGGAACTTGATTGCCTTTTTAAATAATTTCTCAAAATTTACAACATTTATACAAGTAAGAAAATGTTCTGTATCTACAATAGGGATATGTGTTGCACCTTGCATGATTTTTTTAATACAAATAATATAACCAACAAAAACTAATATTTATTTCTTATGATATCCAAATTAATTTTAATTTAACAATCAAAAAACCAATTACAAACACTGGATATAAATTAAAAACGATTTAAATGTTCTATAGGAATCTCAATGACTTCATGCCCATAATTGAAATTGTCCCAAAGAACATGTCGTGGATTTTGTACCTCTTCCAAAGATCTAATGATATCCCGTAATTTAAAACGGTGGTTAAAGTTAACGTTGCCTATAGTGGCGGTGTCTTGGACTTCATAATCTTTAAGTGCCGCAAATAAAGCTCTCATTTGCTTGCAAGTCATTGGGCCGATGTAACTACATTTTTTCATAGTTTTTCCGTTTTTTTGGTCGCGCGATATCAATCGAAAAAACTTTTTTGATATAAATCGACTTTGGCTGAAATTATAATTGTAAAGTTTCGAACATCTCGTTACTAAATTACATAAAGGCCCACTTTGTATTAAACAATTCGAAGTGGAACCCCAACAATTTTGCATTTTTATCGATTCGAGATGTTTACAACTTTTTGAAAGCTCTTCGGCTATAACGTTAGTATCATTTCGATTTTCTATAGCAAACGAATTAAGTAAAGGAGCCGATTTTATCCAATTAAGGAGAGTATTCGTTGGAAGTAAAGGTGATGCTACAATTTCTTTCCAAAGTGTAGGTTGCATCGCTAAGTTTTTCCATCGTTTGCAAACTAATCGGAGGTTAAAAAACAATTCATCCGTGGTGAAAAAAGAAAAGATTTTCAGGAGAACATCATCCGGAAGGATCGAAATATTATTTGATGCCCTTGTGTATCGCTTACGTATTATTAGGGTACGTGGTGAGGGAATTTTTCTTTTTAAATATTTCTTCTTGTGATTTAACGGGTTGGCACGTGTTTTACGTTTATTTTTTCGCTTATATGCCATTATTTTCTTCACTGTTAATTTAATGTGACGTTACGAACAGGTTGTGACTTTTAAATTTTGACATTTTTTAATTGCGCACCATCTATCGGATTAATTTTGAATTCAAATTAAACATTTAAATTTTTTTCATAAATGAATCTGTAAAATGTATTAATTTGTTTTATGTTCTTCTTCCTTTTTATATTTTATTATAATCAAATTCATGTAGTAAAAGAAATTAAGGTAGAAACTAATTAACGATCATTTAAATTTTTCACCACTTGATAGTTTAAGTTGAACACACTGATTTTTACGCGGATAATTATGATTCGGTAAAAATAAAAGTTACCAAATGTGCTTTTACATTGTATGTATAAAAACAAATAAATATGAGAAATTTGACAAACTTAAAATGTATAAAAATTAACAAGATTGTCAGTTCTCCGTCTAATTTGAGTTGATTTGCCGTTATTAATATAATAAATGATTTAAATACGCCTTTTCGATATCTTTTTAGCTGTTTTAGACCATATTATTACATTAGTAAAGAGAAACAAACATAACGAAGATAACCAAACTCAAGGAAAGCATAATTTTAGCGCAAGAGCAGAATCTTACAATTTACTAAATTATTACCTTAGGCGATGTAAACGGAAATGAACAAAATTTGTGTCAAAACGAACGAGAAGGGGAAGATAAATATAGAATGGAAAGTATCCCAAATGTAGCTTTATCCGTACTGCCTCCTATTGAACTCATATCACAGCTGTAAACATCATTTCGGAAATAAGTCAATTTTATACCAAGGCACTCCCATGCATCTATACCTGGGCCGAGGAGATCTGTATGACATTATGCCATCAGCTCACATACACAGAATAATTACCACAGCGAATTCAAACCTTCTGTCGAATATTCAAATCCTTCAAGCTCCTATCATAAAACTTGAAATTGAACAAAATGATGAATTTATTAAGATCGTTACTTTTCCTATGGCAGAAGTAATTGACTTTGAAATTATTAAAGTCAATACTATACTCAAGATTCAATTATATTTTCAACTTAGCCACGAAGAATTTAATGAGTGCATAGTGGTAGAAGTTACTGAATACTTATGCGCTTCTATATTAGTAAAAAATATCGAAAATAATCCCAGTTGTGTCATCAATGAGATTTATAAACGTCAAGCATAAATAACCATAAATTCGATTATTTGGAAAGAATTATACCTGGATTTTCATAACACCGAAACCAGAGAAGGTCGCTGTAGTATGTTCTGGTACACGAGAAGATGTACTACTAAATTGAACTGGTGTACTTCAGATCTCTCAGGGCTGCGTTATAAAAACAAAACAAATTATATTAGCGCCTAAGTGAGATTACCGTAATAGCAGTTTCAATCGCCCCATCGTACTTCAAAAAAACATATCTGTAAAGAGACCATGGGTCACTCCAAAACTGTCTCAAGAAAAAGTCATCAAAACTGGAGATGAAGCTTCTCAGTTTATGGCCACAGAATTAGTAAATGAGGAGATACGAAACGTTAATTAGCGTTTACCCTTACATCTCTATCAATCGTCATTATAGTTGTCATCATATGGGGACTGTATCAATGGCGTAAGGTGAAATGTCAAAGAAAACGAAAACCAAAAGAGACGTCTAACATTGAAGAAGGGTCAACACGGAATTATCTGCAGTCGGAGGAATTCAACTACTACCAATTTTCGACAACCTCACTAGTAATAAATTTTCAAGGTTGATATTGATGTATAAAAAGTGGAAGCAAAGAATCTGTAAGGAGATATCAATTGAAAGATATCAGGAACGATATTGCATGATATCGAGGACAATGTTGACAAATACCAAATATGATGTTGAAAAATATCATTGACGATGATTAGAGGTTTCCATAGATATCAGGGATCAGAGACATCAAATCAACTAAAATCGAATTGAGTTAACTAAACCTACCAGTCATACCTTTATGCGCAGTAGACCTAGAAACCATAGAGAACGCCAAAGAAATCTATCAAATAAAGGAAATTTCCAACGCAATCATCACGGTCGAAGCCAGGAGGAACTCCCAAAAGATTCCCCAATCTCATAACTGCCAACGATATGGACATACGAAAAATTACTGCTCAATGAGCCCTAGAACCACACTAACTATAAAAAACTTCAAACTGATCCACCAAAGTGTGCCAATTGTGGCCAAGATCATCCACCAATCTATCGAGGCTGTAAAATTCACATCGAATATCAGAACAAACACCATCGTCAAACAACTTCAGTCCATCTTGCGCAAAGAACCCAGAGCTCACAAGCAATACCTCAAACAACGACTAATATCAGGAGCTACGCATCGACAGTAAAAAGCACGTCTGCTCCAGCTCAAGTAGAGAATCAACCAAACCAACAACAATCCTCAGAATCATAGACACCTCTCCTATCTTCCTCGATTCCCTTATACCACAAATCAAGACATTCGTAATTAACCATTTCCTCCCACATTTAATTCACGACTAATCTAACAATCATACACAACTTAACTATCCTGAATTTCAACGCCAATGGTATTAATAAACAACGAACTCTTCTTATTGCGTTATTGGCTCGCTATCAGATTGATGTAGCTTGTATCACGGAAACACACCTAGCTCCAAGTGAGATTTTCTGAATAGTAGGATATAGTGTATACATATAGAGCAGATAGGCCTTCCGCCACAGCTGAAGGTGGCGATTATAATTAAAAGAGAAATTCAACACCATCAATTTTGCTGTAAAATCACCGCTATTGAAGTAACGGCAACAGTAATTGAAATAAACAACTCAACTCCAGTTAATATATCTGGATACAAAAACGACTAGAAACTGATATAAGTTCAATGTTGAGTAGCTCTATACCTACCCTACTTATAAGAGATCTTAACAGCAAGAATAAACTCTGGGGATGCAGAGCAGACAATCCATCGGGACTGAATCTGGAATTATTAGTAAACAAGTACGGTTTTCAAGTGCACTGCCCAATCGATTTTACCTACTTTCCATATAGAAGCGACTATCAACCGGATATTTTAGATATAGTAATAACCAAAAATTTTACCATCCAGTTAAATCTGTCTTTAATCAGCGAACTTTAAACTCGGATCATTAACAGACCTAAAATTCCTAAGCTGATCAATGGAGTCATCAACTGGGCAGAGTTTGGAGACTCACTGAATAATCAAGAATTTAACTTACCAACATCAGCTACTCCGAACGAGTTAGACGCAAAAATCCGTTCGCTGACTTCAAAGATTAAGGAATAGACTAACAACTCATACAATTTCGCAGGAACTAGTTGCCTATAGAATCAACAATTATAAAAAACTCATCGCAATTTTTGAAGCAGCTGGAGTGACCTGGGCTTATGGAAGACCACTAGGGAAATAACGCGGACATATGAAGAAATACCTACCCTATTAGTCAATGAAACACCAGTATTCTCGGACGAAGACAAAGCCAACACCTTTGCGGAATATCTGGAAGAATGTTGTCGACCGAATATCAATAATGAGAATATTCGTCACATTACAACAATCCAACAATACAATGAATCCCATCTACTAACTTCATCAACTACCAAGACTGACAGCGATCTAGCTCTAGGCCTAGATCAGATATCTAATATAGTCATAAAACACCTTCCGGAGAAACTACTGAGTCATATCACAGGAACTTTAATCGCTGTCTGGAAATTGGCTACTTTCCGGTGGTATGGAAAAAAGCGCAAATCCTATTGTTCAGAAAGTCAGGCAAAATCAATACGGACCCAGCCAATTATCGCCCAATCAGTCTCCTCTCATCCTTATCTAACCTATTCGAACGAGTCATCCATCATCGACTACAAGAAGACTTAAGCCTCCTCAAAATAATCCCAAACATCCAGTACGGATTTACGGTTCATCAACTGGCAAGAGTAATGGAATATATCGAGGAAGCGTTCGAGGCAAAAAAGTTTACAGCTGTTGTTTCGTTGGATGTAGCAAGGGCCTTTGATACTGTCTGTATTAAAGGCTTAAAATACAAGCTCAATCAAACGGGGTTAAGCAACTATTTACTTGCCATTCTGTTCTCCTTCCTGGAGGAGAGAACCTTCTCCGTCACCATCAATGGACACTCCTCCAGCACTCGAAGAATACTTGCCGCAAGGTAGTAGTTTATCCCTTGCTCTGTTCAACATCTTTATGCATGATATCCCTACTGACGTAAACTTCGAAATGGCCATGTTTGCGGATGACATGTTAATAATGGGACAAAACGACATCCTTATTGATGTTATTGAGACACTTCAAAGGTCAGTGGACAAAATACAGAAATGGTTATTAAATTCTGCTCAATGCCAGGAAATGCCCGACCAAGATTTTTTCGCTTACATTATTATAAATGATCAAGAAATACAGTGGAAAGCAAAAGGTGAAGCCATTAAATACCTCGGAGTTCTCCTTGATCACCGCCTTACTTGGAAACTCCACTTAAACTCAAAGGTTAATCAAGGATATGCAAGGCTTCGCCAATTGTATCCTCTGATAAGCAGAAAATCACCACTACGAACTGAGTGCACTCTACTTTTTTTAACAATATCAGTAAGTGCTCTAATGGGGTTCAGCATAAAGTTGGTCCTCAACAAATCCACATGCGTTTAAAGAGGAAGCTTCCTCAAGACCTAATAGCATCCGATTCGGACAAGTATTTCACAGCTGGGAAGTTATATATTCTGTAACCCATAGTATTTATATGTAATTATTTCTTTTTTTTGTATCAACGCAATCAGGAAAAACATTGTCATTGAAATTAATTAAAAAAAAAGAGAGACATCAAAGAAGCTGGTTAACAGATGATGGATTCTTCAAATCGAATTAATAGATCTAAAAGAAGAAACAAGGAGCATCACCGACAACATTTCAAGCCCAACGCAAAATATCATCCTTCTTCATAGGAAATCGCAATCCTTTCATCATTTTTGCAAATTCACTAATTGTTCAATATTAACATGCTTCCCATACGTCTATACTATATATTCTTCAATTTCTCCCGAGATTTATGACAGATAGATACATAGATAGATTTATACATACATTATGTCTCGAGTTTTCAAATTTTTTTGGATAGAATGGAGGAAACACAATTCTGTTGTGATCCACTTCCTATCTTGTAACTTGCGAGATTAACTTCTATCTGTTGAAAAGACTTAACGTGAAATGAAGATCTGCAAACGCATTTTCGGATTAACAGAAAAATTGTTTGTAAACGAACATCTTGTATCTTTCAATATGACATTTTACAGGAATACAAAGCAGGAATGCCCTGAAGAAGGCTGACTGATAAATTAGGATACGATCGAAATCCTGTCACCATACTTTAATAGTCTGGAAATTCAATATTTCGAGATATTTCTTGAATCATTTCTCCAGGATGCAATCTCATTTCTGTTTTGACTTAAATTCTAGAGCAAAAATATTCCTAAATAATTTGGAATCAATATGAATATGCTTTACGCCACTTAGAATTTAGTTCAGAACATGCAGGGTCTTGAAAACTCACGTAATGGTCTTTTTTATGACTGGTATTTTCCATCATCCCTAACTCTGATGACTTCCTAGGATATGCAAAGAACCTGTATATTACTTTAAAACTTACTTACTTCGAGTGTTGTTTGGTGAAGATTTGAGGTTCATAGATAGAAAGTGTAGCAGTTAATCCCAAGAGGGAGTGCGATTCATCAGATGTTGAGCTTTTTATAGATTTATCAGCATCACCTTTCTATTTGCTCATCAATGATTTAACTAATTCTCTTTGAAAATCTTGTAAATTGATATTTTTCGTACATTTCATTTTCTATAAGGCTCATAAATTGAGAAAAGCTAAGTCAAATAAGTGGAAAGAGACTTTTTTGTACCAATTGACAGATTTTTTTATGGATTCCGAGCATCATCACTATATTACGATATAATTTTATCGTGCAGTTTTGGTACCTACACGTGCCTCTGATATTGCGGCTTTGGTCTAAAGGGCTAAAATAATTTGACATGGAAGGGAGGGAAGTAAATATTGGAATCAAGCCTTATTACTCAAGCTTAAGTTGTTTTTACATCGCCCGTTTCTTGCAATAGCTAACACTTAATTTAATATAAAATGAGTACACAATGTAAAGAACTAAAATATCAAATACTAAATAAGCCAATTTCAGTGAAGCGGATTAATCAAGCCTAAATCAATTAGTTTAATAAAACCGGTGAATTTCATTATAAAACCGAATGCCTAGAATTTGTCTTCAATAAGATATGAATTAAACATTCGAGCTTAAATAGATTAGACAAAGATCTATCGCTTACAAATTCTTTAAGTATTGAATTAAAAGAGATAATGCTGTGGTAATTAATTGCACATCGAATTCTTGTAATATTAATGTATATATTAATTATCAAGTTGTAACAAGTTAGCTTTAATTCAACGATTATATCAAAATAACTAGCGTCACACGCGCGCAACATAAACTCCATCTTAAAGTGAATTTAAAAGCTCATTAATGTAAATTAAGATAAGATGTGGTCCACGAAGGGAAGGGACGCCATAGATAAGTTTCTCAGAACTGTACAACTCAACCCTATATCTTGTCAGTAAGTAAATCGATGGTTAACTCCGTTTACTTGAATTCCCCAAATTTATCACTTGTAAGTAATTGCTAATTTTCTTTTGTATGGGGTATATATTAATATTGCATTATCTACTCAACTGTTTTGATTAACTTTGGGAATTATATATTTTGCGGCTTAAAAGCTTTAACTGCAAGTTTGAACAATATGATACTCGACGTATAATTTTCTCGCAAAAACGAAAACATCAATATAAAATATCTAGTTAATCTTGTACTTCTTTACATAATAAATTTATAATCGAATTTTAAAACAAAAAACTTTATTTAATTTAGTGAAATTTCAACAAAGTTGGAACTGAATTATGGATTTTCTCAAATATTATGGGGTTTTGGTTTATAAATAAGTAACCCATCAGATATTGATCTGGACGACATCCCTTTGTTATATAGAGGGATCAATAATGCAATGAGTCGTCTAACAACTTTAATGAATACGTGGGGGGCTTGTAATAAATTCTACCTTAATTAAATCATGAAAATAGCTTAATTAAATTAATTAAATCCATTTATATGATGCGATTTAGTTTTTAATTATAGCCCTAGTAAAATGTTATATCTAAAAAAGTCGATATCATCAAGTTGTTTGGTATTTTCCAACAAAACAAAAAAATTAAACCGGGTTTATCGCTGTACATTTTTTTAATAAGTAGGTTTATTATCTACGTCATAACTACATTAATTATTGAATACCACTCGTCTTTTTTAGCTCCACAAAACGCTGTTTGTAAAGATTTTTTTTATATTGGAAAATAAAACGCTAAAATTCTCTTAATAAAATGATTTTTCACAACATTTATTAAAACATTTTTTTCGCCTATTCATTCTCTACAATTTTTTTATATAAATCTTTTACACTGGAACGTAATAATAATTATAATATAATAATAATATTTACGAATATTTTATATTTAAATAGTTTTAGGAGTTTTTAAGCCGAAACAGTTTCAACCATCGACTTTTTTATTATCTCCCCAAAGTTTTCGTCGCACTCATCCCCCGCTGTACATTTTTCGTCGCACTTTTCCTGTTCCGAAGTAGTACTTTCAAGATTGGTCTCTTGGTGCGTAGCCGTAATAAACGGCGTTTCATCTTCATAACCATAACCACCGTACCTTCCATGTAACAGTTCGGAAAATGATTCTAGTTTTGTGCCAGCATTAACTGGACTTAAATTGGTGTATTGGTTCCCTTTGTCACAATTAAAGCCTTCGCCCTGCGGGAAATGATCGTAACCGCTGGTTTGTTGAAAGTTTTGTTGTCCGTTAGTTTCGATTGGTTTAGAATATTCTTGGTACATATTCCCGTTATATGGGTTGTAAACTTGGTTGAATTCGGGGAAAGTTGCTTGGTACGGTTGGGTGTATTGTTCGTTTGGGTACGTGTGCGTTCCGTTTTGGAAGTCCGTTCCAAAGTGGAACGTTTGCGCTTGAATTCGTTTGCAATCCTCTTGGTAACAGTCTTCGCGGAACGTGTACAGATCTAAAGAATCTTCGCGAGCGGGTAAATCTGCAAAATTTGTTGGTCCTCCACCTGGACCTTCACCAGGTGCTCCATAATGTAAATTTGTAAAGCTGCCATCGTGTACGCAAGATTCCGCCTCAACGTGCGAGGTGAGAGCCACATCGCGTAGGAGATTTCTCACAGGAGGCCGGGGTACATTTTCTTGCACCACTTCTTTTGTGCCAAAAGATAATCTTTCGTTATCCATCCAATTTCCTTGGACGGGATGAGGAATTCTCCGATGATGATTTTTATCATTTTTAAGAGCTTCTTCTTCCGCATTTTGTTTCTTTTCCAGCTCCAAACGCATTAAGGTGTGTATAAAATGGGTGCGTACTCTAACCGGGTTAAATTCAATTCTTCCACTGGAATTTCCACAGTTATCTCTTGAGCAACCGCATGGAAAATTCAAACGATCGACTTGGCATTTTATACCAGCTTGGCTACAAGAACATGTATCTGGATCACAGTAAACTTTACATCCGCATCCACAAAATTCTCTAGACGAACGAATGTCTTTGCATTCATCTTTTTCTAATGCGTCAATCTTACGTACTCCGGATGCCCTTAATAGGGCTCTTCGTTGTCTCGTTGGAACTGGTTGAAGAAAATAGTAATTGTCCAAATCTAATTCTGATTCGGATACATCACTAGCATCTTCTTCACTGTCACTATCATCGCTGGATGAATGCGTTGGGCCGTTAACGTTTCTCTCGCTTCTTAATTGTTGTAATAGCTGCCGATGTATTCTTCGTTGTTCCACAGCGTGTTCAGTTATTGTGAATTTTCTTGTATGGGTGTGCTGTGCTTCCATACCAAGCGTGGATCCACCCTGTGAGGGTACACAAGTAAAACCTTGCGCTCTTGGAAAATAATAGACTGTAACACTATCGAATGTTATTCCTTTCTTTTTCTTGGCTTTAGGTTCTTCTTCGATATCGGTAGATAATTTTCGCTTTAAACTACTTTTAAGTGGTCCTTTTTGAGCCTCCTCTAATATGGCACCAATATCTTTTTCAATTTTATCTTCTTCCAATTTAACCCCATCTTTAACTTGGTGTTTTTCTGGATTCTCGTTAATCCGGTCCAAGAACAACGTTTCGCTATCACTTTCCAAGGCGGACACCATTGATGTGACCACCCTAGTTCTTTCTTCGCAAAGTTCCGACCCCAAACCGGAGTCTGACCCATCTGATCTATCATGTTGCTCTTCGATTAATTCTTCGGGCGGAGGTGGCAGACTTTCCGTTGCGGAATCTTCGCCTTCCTCTTCTTCTTCTTTCCTTTGGTCCTCAACGTGCGTTTGTGCTACCGTTTCTTGCGATAGTACCAATTCCTGTGTGCATTCTTTTGGTTGAACCGTACCCATTTTTGATTCTAAAGATGATGTAACCACATTGATTTCACCGGAAGTCGACATATTAAACTGGAAAGAAACAAAAAATCATAATTTAACATTAAATTGTCTTTTTTTTAGATTATTAATGTAGTTAGAACAACAGGTGTTGGCGTTAACGAAATGAAAATCTAATAGTCACTTAAATATGTGACACAACCGGTTGATTTTCGACTCCTCTAAGGACCTCATTAAGTATGGGTTGAACGAATTGGGCGCGCGACTTGAATTTTAAAGTTTGCGTCGTCGTAACGCTGCTCCCGCGGATTTCAATCTTCTTCTATTTATACCGTTCGGAGGTTATATTTAGAGGGGGCCCCGATCGATCGGCTACCGCTTTCCAAAAAGGAAAGCCGCCGTTGAAAGGGGGACGAAGAAGAAATAATAAGCTAAAAGAAACATCAAAGAAATTTGTAGCTCCCAATTAAATGATTAAAAACAGTAAATTAAGAATTTGGAAAAATTTAAAACAAGAAATGGAAAACGAAGGTCAAAATGATAAGGCTCCGTTTCAAATTCCGTCTATTTTAAGGCGCCCACTTGCGAAACGCTATCGATCCGACACCATTATGAAAATTAGCGAGTTTAACCAGCGGCAACGTTCGAAACGCGTCCGGCAGACGGCGTTATGCAACGTCGCAAAAAAATCGCGTCATGCGACGTTGCCATGTGGACTAATTTTCAGAATTGAAAGCGAGATAAACTTGCCGCTTTTTTTGCGTTTGCCTAAAGCAATCATTTGATTTCGGTGAACAACCGTAACTTGTGTTTTAATCCATTTAAATCAAGTAAAACTGGTAATAAATAACCATTCGAAAAGAAACAGCTACAAAAATAAACAAGACGCATATATTAAATATCCAGACAAATCTAAGATAACTTATCAATAAACGTTTATTTTAGTTTTCTATTTATTTTCCTTTTTTTTGTTGCTGTTGCAATAAAGTGATAAAATTCACTCTGCATAAATATAATTTAAAGAAATAGAATTCCAAAAATAAGTTTCTTTCCGTGTGTATACCGCTTGATTATAAACGGTGAAACCAGGTAACGTTGCAATAACCTAAGTACGTTATCCGAGAAACTGTAAACTCGCTTCGAAATTTAAAATAGTAGGCCATTATTTAATTGTCCCAACGTTCTTCCGCATCGGATACAGTTAATTTCAAATTGAGTCGAAGATCTAAACCGCGTGTTATTGAACCTATCAAGAAAATATCGCCACTAAACCACTTTGTTACAGCACCTGTTAACGTAAAAAAGAAGGTGGAGGGATCACCTGCTATATCTCCCCCTTACTATTTAAAATCCTACTTTTGAAAAATGATAAATAAAGAAAAATAGGTTAAAAAAATAGGGGTTTATTTTTATTTTTATAACTTTGAACGTCTGTTGTCGTGTTGTCGAGTATGAATCAAGGTTAGTCGTTTATCGGTCTGTGGAACAAAAATATTTTGCAGAAACAACTCTGTGTTCTTAAAGCTTAGATATTTTCTGTATTGAATTTAAAATTAATTTTACAAAGTAATTTTTCTATTTCACTATATTATAATATAATCCTTACACAATTACTGGAACGTTTGGTTAACCTTCAAAGTACAATTTTATGTTGACCTTCTAAAGCGATAAACAAAAAAGCATATTAATAATGCAATTTAAATCTATATAACGATTTCCAACAAATTGAGAAGTTTTATATACACCAGCTGGTGTTTTACTCAGAAACGGTTAAAATTTACGTATTCCTTTTATAAAACAGATTCAAAAAATATATTTTTAATGAGTTTAAAAGTGTTTACATATTTCTTATATTATCAATGTAACGAAATAATACGAAAATATGAAAGCTTAAGTTTTTGCTTTAGGAATTGCACGCTGTTTTAAGTTGGAAGTTAATTTTTTTATAAGCTTCAGTAATATGCCGAGCATTTTTGTACTTCAAATTCAAATTTAGCAAATAGGTTCATCATTGTAGAGTTTTATTATTTGTAATTGTTTCCTTGCATTCTTTATCGATGTCATTCTATCAAATCAGTTTTTAACTATTCATTCAAAAATTATATATATGAATGAAGTCGATGGTAGTAAAGAAATTGCAGTTGTGACAACTTTTAGACAATTTTGAAAACTGATGTATTTAATTCCATGACTTAGAAACATTGAACGTTTAAGACTAGGTTTTGACAAAAAAAGATTAAATTTCCAATAAACGCAGCATTTGGCTATTACAGTTTGGACACTCCATAGCTGCTTTATTTCGAAGCAAAAATTCGGCTTTTTATTACAAGATTTTCCTGCTTAGTAGCAACAATACATAAATTCAGAAAGCTATAGCTATTAAAAGTAATGCCCATCTACCTGATAAAACAAAATTTTAGATATTTAATAAAATTGGTGTCCATTTCCGATATAACCAGACCTAATAGAAAGATAATATTACTTTCAAAAAGTAATATTTGCTTCTCGATGCAGAATTGATGAATATAAGATGGAGACATGATAAAGACTAAAGTACACTTGACTTAATAGAGCTATGAAGGAATATGAAAATTCTTCTCAGTCGGAATCTCGTATTCGATTACGAGAATCATGAGTTGCTTTCCAGAGCATTCATCCCTGTTGTCAGCCATCTTGAATCTGCACGACAGATTTTGTCCCGTGGTGTTTGTGATAAGCTCCGTGTACCTTGCAAGAGATTTTCCACGCGATCTTTTGCCAGCTACTATGCCCTCTAAGGTAAGTCTTTCGAGATTTCTTGGCACCAGGCATCCAAAAAATGTTGCAATGTTTTCAGCAACCACGTCTCGCAATCTTTTTTTGGTTTCAGTTGTTGTAGTATTGACTCGTTAGTTCTTCTCTATGTCCAAGGAATACTTAGCATTCTACAAAAAGATTCCATAACTATCTTTTTTGTAATATTAGACTATATTGATGTAAATTGACTCCATACTCCACTTGACTCTATACGGACTTGTTAGAAATATGATGAAAACTTCTTGCGGACTTCATACGGAAATGACAGAAACTTAAAGTAGGTTTATTGAAGATTTCAAAAATATGGTACAAATTTAATAAGGATATCAAGATTTAATGCATGCTTGAAAGAGCTATGATGTGCTTCCAGATACAGTCCCGACAGAGATAAGATTCGGTTTTGATGGAGACTTTATTCTGTACAAATTTGATTTGATGGAAACATGGTGAAGATTTCATTAGACATTGAGTTTAATGTGGATTTGATGCAGACTTGAAATACTAGATGCAAATTTGATAGGAACTATGTGGAGACTTACTGTAATTTTGAAGAAGTTTTGATGTAGCATTTACGGTTCACGAAAATCGATATTAATTTTGGCTATAACAGCGAAGGTACATAGAACTTACACGGGATATTGCTTGAACCAATATACATAATTAAAATTTAATAATACACGTTATTAAAACAGCATCAAGAAAGTCTTAGTATCAATATTAAGGCTTTCATTGCGCAATTAGATAGTAATTCCAGCTTTTGCTGCTTGCAAATATGATGTTTAATATCTAAAATATTAATATTAGAAGTTGTATTAGAATAATTATTAAATCTGCGAAAAGGTCAAATTATATTCAATCCCAATATATCATTACCTAAGATCATTATCTCCATGGGTTACTTTCGATCCAACTGACCCAGCTGCTTAAAACATACGCAGCATTCAAACTAAATTGTTGCTAAACCGATTTGCCAAAATTAATTAAAACTGCGCATTTTTTCCCGAAAACTAAAATGTATTGACACAAACGGCGAGAATCAAATTTTCACAACAAAAAATGTTTAAAATTCCTCTGAGTTCTGGTTTAATTTTGTAATTTAGAGAAACTTATTGAATTGTACTATTCATAATTTTATTTGTAGAGTGGCAAACACCATTGAAAATGAATCGGTTATGTTACTGGACTACAAACATAATATAGAAATAAATACGACTGAAATATATTTCGGCAAACAGAATTTCCCAGAACCGTTCAAAGCAGCTGTTGTTTATGAATTTAATGCGGCGAATGCAGTATATCCTGAAAATAATTATCTGATTGAGAATCGAAACATTGTTATGACTCCGAACGGGGCTTTAGAAAACGTTGAGGATAAAGTTAGTTAGAATTTAGGAATAAACACCAATTACGTTATACATTATAAATTAAGTAGAAATGAGTCATACGGGAAATTTTCCATATATAAACAATGAGTTGGTTCAAGAAGCTTTGGAGGATGCACAAATTATTGGATGATAAAATAAACGATCAAATACTCCAATGATTTTGAAGGCAAAATAAATTACTAATTACTACTACAAAATCAAGACAATATTCTGATTTATTTAACAAGATAACTTGTCATCTCGGTTTGATATTCTTATTATTTGTACTTTTCGAAAAGCTTAATATTTTGTAAATGTGAAATGTGTAAACGCTTTAAAATTCTCAAAGAGCTGAAGATGCAAGAATCAAGTACAAAGAATAAGTATATTCTTTCAAAGAATCAGAAAGTTGCTTACAGCGAAAGTTTTGTGGCAATAGGTACAAAAATATAACATTTTTACAAATTTTTTACATCTTATCGATAGGCAAATAATATTCTATCATAACCAACCAACTGCATATCTCAAAATTAAACTTGACCTTTTTCACATTCCTTGCTTATATGATCCATTCATCCGATATCAGATGGAAAAGTATCTTTATAAGATTCAAATATGTTGCTCAACATGCAAATTCTGGAAAAGTTAAAGTTTGGAATAGACATGTAATAAATTAGAATAAAAAATTATGCCTAAAACAGACTTATGTTGATGTGTCATAAATCAATAATTTAAGCTTATCACAGAGAAGGAGCAGAAAAATTTGCTGTTATAGATTTTAGACTTTCAAAAAAAAAAAGAGAATGGCACTAAATTTAAAAAGTGAAATGCAATAAAAAATGAAATATGCAATAAACAGGATTATGAAATGATTTTAATTAAACTAACCTACGTCAATCTTGATATAATCTG